TTCAAGTCCTACCAAGTCCAGAGCGGTGTAATAAGATCTCTGATCAGGTTGATTAGATTAGAACCTATCTATCCTTGGCTTGGTGTGTGTGAATTCCCACCGTGTCCTGAGTTTGTGCGAATTCCCAGTCAATTCCAGAATCAGGGTGAATGAATGTCCAGTGAATCCTGGGATCAGAGTTTGTGAATTTCCTGTGTATAGTGGGATTAGTGAACGTGAATTCGCAGTGTGTGTTGGGATTGAGGTGTCTGAATTCACTAGCCTACAACTGGACAGGGGGCTGCATAACTGAGTCATAGAATCGTACAGCATGGAAATAGGCCGATCGGTCCAACTCATCCATGCTGACCAGGTTTCCTAAACTGAACTAGTCCCATTTGCCTGCATTTGGCTCATATCCCTCTAAACCATTCCTATTCATGTACCTGTCTAAATATCTTTCAAATGTTGTAACTGTACCTGCATCCACCACTTCCTCTGGTAGCTCATTCCATACATGCATCATCCTTTGTGTGAAAAAGTTGGCCTTAGGTCCCTTTTAAAAAAGGGGCAAATTTTTTTTATGGGAGAGTAACCTTAGAGGCAGTGTGGTCTGTATAAGAACATGATTGAAGGGCTAGCCATACATATGAGTTTGGATGGAGGGAAACAGAGATAGATTGAAGTCACAAAGTGTGTGGAAAATGTTCATTTAATTTCACCAAATGCTGAGGAACGAAGAGTGTTGAGTTTGAAGTACATGTGAAAGATAATATGGAGAGTGAGGGCTCAAGAAAGATGAGGATAAGTTGAGTCCTGAAGACCTCTATGTCCAAAGCAGTTTGATCGATGGCCGAGGCAGGATGTCTGGATTGACAGGGCAACTTTGACGTTGGGGAAACATTTATCATCAGGGAAGCTGGAACTCCATCAGTCCGGGAAACTGGGGAAACAAAGTCGGGGGGGAGACAGAGGGAAACAAAACAGGCAAAGAGGCTGCAGACAAGGAGGCAGAGAAAAGTGATTGTTGCAAAAACCCAAAACATAACATCAGCGATATTAACAGCACAGGAGGAAGCTGGGTGATTCATGGATAAAGAACCCTGATTACATTTCAATATTTACAGTGCAACGTAAACCTTCTCGATGGCAGCCACTAAGTGTCATTGTGTTCCTAAGAGGAGACAAATAGCCAAAGTGGTCTTAATAATTCCAAATAGTAACACTACTTTAAAAGGATGCACACACAGATGACTCTAGTTCAGTTTTACCCCAACTCTCACTGTTGCGTGCGATTGGCAGGCAAGACTGCAGGAAGGTGAATGGGATGCATATTGGTCTTCTTATATCTCGCAGCTACTGCCACTACGTAGAACATGCATGATCTATACAAACTTGTTTTGAGCATCCAGTGACAAGATTTTAAACTGATTTAACCACAAGACTTGAACAACAGACCTCAGCAGTTTTGGCCCATTGTTTGTGCTGGTTCTTTCCTGGAATAATACAACTGTCCAGTGCCCTCTACAGTGCTCTGCAGTTTCTCTGCAATAACCTGCTATAACTGCTCCACGTGACAAAGTATTCCACAAACAATTCTGTGCAGGCCAAACTCTCTGAAATCCTTTCTTTTCTTAGTGATCATTTTAAACTGAAGTCTCCTTCAGACTCCCAAGCTCTCCCTCATTAAGAGATTGCTATTTAAAAAGCTTCCATTTACTCTCTATGCATTCTTTGTTTCAATGGCAACAATTTCAGGATCCCAAGTACAAAGGCCCAATTTATAAAACTCTTAAAGCGTGTCAAAGTTCACCCTGGCTGCTGGAGAGAGAATCTAGAACCTTGGGACAGTCTCAGAATACAGAATGAGGCAAGCCATTTATGACTCCAATAAGGGGGAGTTTCTTCACTCAGACAGTGGTGAATTTTTGGAAATCTCTCTGCTCCAGAGGGAAGTTCAAACTCAATTATTGAACATGATAAGATAGAGACTGATAGACTACTAGGTACCAACAACATAAGGGAATATGTGGACAGCATGCGAAAATGGTCTTGAAGTAGATGAGCAGTCCAGAATTGTTGAGCAGGCTTGAAGGGCTGAAATGTCTTTTCCTGTTCTCATCTCAAACCATCAAGATATACACCCCAAACAAATGTAAATACAGCATCAATTCAATGAGATAATGACTGACTGTGAGCTAACTCCCAAACTGCCCTTTATGGCATTTCCTTTAATATCTTAGATTAAATCTCAGATTTAAAACTAAACTTTGAGATAACGTTTGCTATTAACGCAAGTGAGTTCCAAACCTCTCCTATCTTTTGTGTGCACAAGCGTTTCCTAATTGCACTCCTGAAACCCCACTGGCTAAGTCCCAGACTCCCCCAACCAGCAGGAACTGTTTCTCTCCATCTATCCTATCTGTTCACCTTAACATCTGATATCTTCGATCAAATCACCCTTTCATATTCTAAATTCCCAGAGAATTCCCTAGTTCCCGTAATCCACCCTGCCTTTGAATCTTTGCAGTCCAAGTATCATTCTGATAAATCTATCTTATACTCCCTGCAGAGCTGTTACATCCTTCCCGAGGTGTGGTGGTCCAGATATAGACAGAGTGGTGAAGAAGGCGTTTGGCATGCTTACCTTCATTGGTCAGAAGTTGGGAGTACAGGAGTTGGGATGTCATGTTGCAACAGGACATTGGTGAAGCACTTTTGGAATACTGTGTACAATTCCGGTCACCCTGCTATAGGAAGGATGTTGTTAAACTAGAAAGGGTTCAGAAAAAAATTTACAAGGGTGTTGCTAGGACTGAAATGTTTCAGTTATAAGGACAGGCTGGATAGGCTTTTATCCCCTGGAATGTCAGACGCTTATGGAGGTTTACAAAATCATGAAGGGGATGGATAGGATGCAAAGCAAAAGACTATTTCCAAGGGTAGG